CCCAAAAGTATTGATTTTTCTCCGGGTCATCAGTCCCTAAGCAGCATAGATCAGCTGTTCAGAGCCCTGTGCCCAGTGAGGTGCTATCTGTACTTGAGAGATGGTTTAGAGCAAGCAGCAGGCTGTGCCAGGTTCTGTACATATGCTTCACCATGCTTTACGGAAGGGCCTTGCATCTGCGGGGTCAAGAGTCGATGCTCCATGAACATAGAGGATGATGTTGCTAGCTCCCTGGCAGGAGTTGTTTGCTATGAAGACGAAATGAAGTGAGATGGGTGCTCCTAGCCATAGCACCTGTCACAGCCCCTCCACTGTCAGTTCTCCCCACCCTTTCCCTCAGTCTCTAGTAAGGAAGCACACTGTATGCTCTGGGCCTGGTTCCTCTCACCTCCCTTCTCTCTGTGGAGAGTTCTTCCCCATCCCTCCTCTCGCGCCCCTGCCCCTGTCTCGCCCTCCTGTGTCTGGAACTCTTTTCTGACAGCCTTTATGCTGTGTGTGCCTTTAGCGCCTGTGTTCCCTGAAGGAGCCGCCTCACTGAGGGCTCTCTTCCTATGCGTGAGGCTCTCGGCCTTGACGGTGGCCTGAAGGCAATTTCTGTGGGGCATCTTCTTGATGGATCATTAATGTAGGAGGGCCCAGCCCATTGTGAGTGGTGCCAGCGCTGGGTAGGTGGACCTGGGTTCTATAAGAAGGCAGCCTGAGCCAGCCATAAAAAGCAAACCAGGAAACAGGACCCCTTCATGGCCTCTGCTTTAGTTCCTGTCTTCCTTCCATGGTGGACTACAAACTGTCAGATGAAATAAACCCTTTCTTCTCCAAATTGCTTTTGTTCATAGTGTTTTGTCACAGAAATAGAAAGAAATCGAGGACACTGTCCTGTTTTAAAGAATGAGGGTCACCCACTGCTTTCCCCCTGTTGGCTTCCCTTGTCTCACCGCCCTTCCTCTGGGTCTTCTTCCCTCCTCATCTGAGGGGTCCATGGCCCTCGTATTTCAGGCAGTCACCTTTTGCCTCTGCCACTTTCGAACTCATTCACCCATCATGCCCGACGCTTCCTACCGTGATCCCAACAGCACCCATTTGCTTCCCAAACTAAGGTGAAGTCTGCACCAGGCACCCCATGTGGCCCCATCTTTATAATTCGTTCTTCCTGATACAGCTGGAGCTGGGTTTCCAGAAGCACCTGTCTTACCTAATAGGGAACCACCCCTCTTTAGACTCTTCTCAGCTCCCACCACCCTTGTGGGATGCAGCCCCACATACTGTAAGGCACCTGCTCTGCCTCCCCTGCAGCTCTGATTCCACACTGGCAGCACAGGCGCGCTCTCTCTCTCTGCCTTCTTTGCTAACTGCCTTCCTACCTTCCAGTACCCCCACTACCTCCATGTTCTGATACTGGTGTTGACCTTAGTGACAATGTCCCACTGTGCCTTGCGGCTTCACTGTTTTCTTTATGGCGGGCAGTTTTCTTATCTCTCTTTCCCACTGGGTCCTGAGCTCTTATGGGACCTCTAGACTTGACGCAACACCCACCATCCTAATGGTGCTCAGTCCTTGCAGTAGCTCTGAATGGGAACTGGAGTTAGTAAGGCTAGAATAAATGTAGTTGTGATGTTGGGGTTCTGGGAAACCCAAGGGGTAGCGTGGTTTCTTCCAGGTTCCTACCCAAGCTCCATCACTTACTGATGTGACTCTAGCCAAGTTCCTTAACCTGGCTGTACCTCAGTTTTTCCATCTTTAAAGCATTAATAATGTGTCCCTGCCTCAAGGTTTATGTGACGGGTTAGATGCTCTTATGCCTGAGCAGCCTTTGGAGCGAGGTACCATCATTGCCTTATTACAGATGAGAAAGCTGAGGCCCAGAGAGGTGATGCTCTCCAATCAAGGTGGAGCACCTGGCTGGAAACAGAGCTGGGCTTGAGTCCAGCTGTTTGTTATGTGCCAAGCGCTGGAGACACCTGTCCCTGTCCCTCTAGGCAGAGGTCTCAGCCTCCAGGTGTAAGTCTCCAGAAAGATGCTAACAGGAGCTCTCTGGATCAACTCCAGTGCCATTGCCTAGTGCTCAGTTAGTGTGACTTGCATACACTCATCTCCCCCAGCAGCTCTGGCTAGTCCTGAGTGCTGAATGCATCCACTCCGGGCACAGTGTCCAGAGGTCCGGTCCTGGGTCCTTGCCGGCCAGCATGTTGGCAGCAAGCTCTTCCTCATTCAGCCGCCTCTTGTGCTCCAGCGCTTTATGGGGGAGGGTCATTAAGAAAGCTTTTTCCCAGGAAGAGCTGTGCCTTCTCCGAGTCTCTGCTGTGGAGTGCCCCAGCCCCCACACTCTCAAAAGCTGCCCTTGTGGGTTTCAAAACAACCCCACAGCCCAGAAAACTGAGAACCCCATCTACTGAGCCCACTTTTCTCCAGAACCTTCTGGGTGACAATCAGCACTGGTTCAACGTAAAGAAAATAGTTTGAAGATGTTTTCAAATAGAGTCTGATGGAACAAAAGAGCAGTTCATCCGCTGTGGCTTTTTGTGTGCTGCTTCCCAGTTGGGAAATGAGATTGTTCAGTTAAGTAAGAAGGCACCAGAGACCTCTGAGGCTTGCAGCTTCCACAATGTGGAGAGGGGTGTTCCGCCAGGTCACTCCTCTTTCCTCTCTCTGTCCCTGTGTGTTTTCAAACTTCAGATCCCCAGTTCATCATATAAGTCCACCAATAAGAACACACAGACACACACACACACACACCTACTAGCTGGGTAACCTGTATGTATTTTCATAAGCTGTTCCAAACCTTGAATAGTCAGAGGCAGAGCATGCCATGGCACAGCCATGCTCAGGGACCCAGGGTCTTGTATAGTGTTTTCTCCTCTTCAATTAATGGGCTGCCTTTTGTGGTGTTTATATGACAATAGATGTACACCTGCTACAGGGTTCCTAATATGAAGAAAGGAGACGCATTGGGCACCCCCAAATTACATACACAACTTAGGGAGTGATGACATTTCTAGTGAGAAATTCTATCCCTGCAGTAATGACTCAAAGGAGCAAGGAAAGAATATTGTTGCTTTCCACCTTTGAGATCTTTGCGGGAGATGCTTGTTACTGTGGCAAAACTCAGCCTGTCCTGACTGCTACAGGAGCCCAAAAAAACTTCCTATAGGAAATTATGTGTAAGACATACTTTGAAGGGTAAATAGACCTGAGCCAGGAGAAGAAGGGAGAGGAGATTTCATCCCCCCAATTCCTGTAAAGAAAATGGCAAAGTTAAAAATGACTCAGATAGCAACTGTCACTTTCTTCTCCATGCCTGGGGTCCTGCTTCTCTGAGTCCAAACCTTTCATTTGGTAAGAAGTCCACAGAAGGCCTGGTCCAATACTCTAAGGGATCTACTGGGCAAAGATGCTTTTTAGTTTCCACGCTAGACTTTCTTTAAGGCCTTGTGAGATCTGCCAATGAATTCAAGTTGAAGACTGCTAAAAGTGTTAGAAGCAAGAACCGTGGTTGTTGGGACTGGCCAGTCGGCTTCTTTCTTCTTACTTAGCTTGCACACTTCCTTTGCCCAGCTTAGGCTAGTTAACATACTGACCCTCTATTCTCAGAACCAAAGGTAGCGCCCAGCACGTAGGAGGCCCCTAGGAGAAGTGTGCTGAGGGTTGCTCCTGTTTCTTCCAGCCGTGAGCTGATTTCTAGTAACCCCATGGCTGCCCACAGTCTGATTTTGTTTGGGGGCCTGCCTGATCGCTCCAGCAGGGGCTGGGGCTGCAGGGAGCCTGCTGACCAGTGCTAATTGGTGTCATTGAGTAATTAATGCGGAATCAGACCCGAACTGATTCCCAGGGAGACAGACACTGAGGGTGGCTTTCATGCTCGGTGGGATGGGAGTTCCTTTCTCTGGGGACATTCTCAGAGCACTAAAGGCGACTGGCACCGTCTGGTGGGGGTGGCTTGGCAGCCAGAATGGGGTTCGTGGAGCAAGTGTAGAGGGGGTTTGTGCTGGTGCCACGGTTGGACACAATATGGAGCGTGGCGAGTTTGACTTTAAAGAAACCCAGCCCTGGGGTGGGCTCTGGGAGCCAGGCAGTCGTCGGCTCTGAAGGATCGATGGGCCCTTGGAGAAGGCCATGGTGGAGGCATTTACAGCATATCTGTTATCCTTGTTGCTGTATGACCTTTTGGTATGGGCACCCCTCCCCTTTAGCATGGGTCCTCTTCTCCCTTGTCACGATCCCTCCTCTGTCTGCTCCCACCATTCCGTCTGCTCTCTGTGCCCTGTGTCTCTGTTTCTCAAATGCACCACACTCGTGTCTATAGGTTTAAAGGTTTCACTTGACCCAGAACGTCTCCACGCCTCCCTTCAAAGTGTAGACCCTACACTCCTTCTCCCAGGAAGCTTCCAGGGGCTCCCGCAGCAACAAGGATTGGTTGAGTTAGGTTGCAGCAATATAAGCACTCCAGAGATTGGGTGGTGCAAATCAGTCTTTACTTACTGCTTGCACTGTGTCTCTGGCGGTCCTTTAGGAATGGGGCCACTAGAAGCCTCACCATGACACTCTTCTATAATCACAGCAAAGGGAGAAACGGGAGCTGGAGAACCATGGCACCTGGCTCTGGACACTTCTCTCTGATTTGACACATGCTCTATAGTGCTGTGACCACCCTTGAGTTCGGCAGGGAAGTAATATGTAATCTCTTCTTAAAGACTATTTACATAGTAATCCAGTCTCCTGGATACACCAGACTTGATTGGATAATTCCTAAGTCCATTTTACCACGGACTTTTTTTCCTTATTTTTTTTTAACCATAGCACAATTCCACAAAACCACCGATTGGGTTTTGTCTTTCTCAGAGGCCTCCTACCCAGCCCGGTGTCTCACAGTTAGTGAATGACAGGGTGGTGGGTGGTCGCATTGGAGGACAGTCCATCCTTGTTCCGCTATTGCTCTGGCTCTGCTCCAGGTAGGGGCACAATGGGACATCTTCAGTCTGGTGACTCACACCCTCTCCCTACAGACGCCGGGTCTTGGCTATATCTGATGGCATTGAGCACATTGGGAACCTCCGTTGGGAGCTGGCATTGTGTCTCCTGGCTGCTTGGACCATCTGCTACTTCTGCATCTGGAAAGGAACCAAGTCTACCGGAAAGGTAAGAGGTTAGCTGTTGCGCAGCTGGCCGCACGTAGAAGATGGTTTTTACACAAGCAACCAAGTGACCTAGATCACCAAGAAACTCATGTTGGAAACAGCATCTCTAAGTTGAGAGGTAGGAAGATCTTTGGACAAGGAGTCCATCTGAGAGCCAAGGGCCGAATTCTTCACATAGCTCTCGCACACTTCAGGGCTATTCTGCTTTGCTTTAAGCTTTGGTTTTCTCCTCTGTGGAATAACAAAGCCTTATACCTCCTCTCTGAGTGAGTCAAGAGTCACATAAGGTAAGGTAGGATAAGATGTGCTAAAAACCGGAATATGCCCAACAGCTAGGACTGTAATTCTTACCGTGCTGAGCCTGACTCCGGTTACATGCCAGGCAGACAACTCAGGCTTTCCCACCAACCACCCTAGCTGCCTATGTCTCATGTCCCTGCAGTGTGGAGGGGAACAATGACTTCTGTCTGGTAGCCCTGCTGTCCCATATATAGCAGGCGGTCTCCAGGGTCACAGGAGAGGAGGAAAGGGAGATGGAGGTCAACTCTGAGCTGTCTGAGAATTGTATGAGTCCCCTCCACTTGAAGGCTGCTCGTCAGAATCTGGGCCACAGCCTCTTCCAACCACAGGGGAGCTGGAAAGCACAGGGGCCTTGCTTGGGTCAGAGTACAACATAGACTGGGCTATTGCAAGATTGACAGAGGGCGAGAAGTGTGACATTTGTGGCCATGTCCAGCTTGCTTGTATGGTTTCCAAAAAAAGAAAGAAAAAGAAAAGGAAGTAAGGAAGGAACTGAAAGAAAAGTTATTCATTGGCGATGTTTAGAACTCACTGTCCCCCTGCTGCTCCTGTTCCTGTGGCTGAGCATCGAGCCCATTGGTCTCTTGTCTGTAAATTCATTTTATGTTCTTATGAGAAATAGGGAAGGAACTATTCCTTGTACCTGAGCCTGCCTGACCCCATCACTCTTAATGGATGTGGGTGACGTGTGTGTTTAAAGTTCTTGACTGGGACAAGAGCTAGAGGTGACACCTCCGAGGACAGAGGGACCCGCAACTCTGAGTTCCTTTGTGAAAGCATCTCCCCTGAAGCCCCTCAGGGGTGGGTGAGATAAAGAACCTGCTAGGGCGTGGGAGGCAAGGTAGCCCACAGGAGGGAAGTCGGGAGAACACAGAGAGAACGCAGGCAGGAGAATGACACATGAGTAAAACAGTGTGTGCCGAAAGGCTATCCGGAGGTACCGGGGAATCCCAGCAGGAAGAAAAAGGACCTTTGTGTCCCTGAAGCCATGGTGATCATCTAGCCTTTGCCTTCTGTGGGTTATTATGCCATAAAGACAATAGAATTCCCCTCTTTTTGCAAATAAAGATTGCCGACAGTTTTGCTGTATTTTAGATTGTCACCTTGCTCTTCCCTGTGTCCCTCCTTTAGCTGAAGAGGAGGGTAACTGGATGGTTAAAAGCCAGCCTCAGTGGCCAGAGAGCTGGCTATGGCTAAGCAGTCGAGAGTACGTGGTGCTCTTCCAGGGGACCTGAGTTCAGCTACCAGCATCCGTGTTGAGTGGTTCACAGCCTCCTGAAATTCCAGTTCCGTGGAATCTGGGGCCTCTGGCCTCAGCAGGCATCTGTGTCTGCACTGATGTTTACACATGTGTGTACATGCACACACACACACACACACACACACACACACATGCACACTTTTAAAAATAAATCTTAAGGACAACAACAACAAAAACTCAGGACTCAATCACCATGTCTGTCGTTCACTGGCTATGTTCTCGGGTGCCCGGGTTCACGTCTCTGAGTCCCAGTTTCCCTTCTATAGAAGATAATGTGAGTTGGCTGCATGATGAGACCACAGGGTGCAAGGTTCTTGTTAGGGCTGAACAGTGCAATAGTCTGCAGGAAGTGCTGAGGGAGCAGAGATTTTCAAGAATCCTATATAAAGATAGACTATTTTTAAAGGAGTGGTTTCTGAGCTGGGAGTGGTCATGCACACCTGTACCTCAGTGCTTAGGAGCCCGGTTAGGAAAACTGGGTTCAGAGTCTGCCTGGGCTGCCCAACAAGACCCAATTTAAAAGAGGAGGAGGAGCAAGAACAGGAAGACAGGGAAAACGAAAAGAAGAAAAATGTTAAAATTGGTTTCTAAGTCCTGCTATAGACTAGCATAATTCAGTGGGTTTCATGTTTCCATTGCATTTTTCCTTATCTATGTGTTGTATGTATGTGTTTGGGGGACAGGGCATCAGAGGACAGATTACTGGAGTTGTTTCTGTTTCAACTTTCAACAGTGCGGGTCTGAGGAATCAAAGGTGCCTTGTCAGGCTTCTCAGCCTGCTTTCCCTGCTGAACCATCTTCCCAGCCCTCAGAGGGTTCCTAGAAGTGAAGACAGTGCACCCTGCATCATGCCCAGTAAGCTGATAGAAATGCCTCAGGACGGCCACAGATACTGCCTCTTGGAGGTTGTGCCTGGCTCAGTGGGCTTGGCTGGGCAGCAGTGATGTGTGGCACAAGGAGCGCTGAGCCACCTGGGGTTGGTTTATGTACTTGAGCTGCCCATAAGAGCCCAGCATGTGGCCACAGCAAGATACATTTGCCCTCAACTCTTGCACAGACTGTGTGCTGTGGTCTGGGGCGGTGGGCAGCCCAGGTGTCAGAGAACTCCTACTGCGTGACTGGGCTCTAGGAAGGGCAGGCGCAGGCTGGGGAATTTCAGATGAAGCTGCCAAGAAAGAGGAGGAGAAGCAAGCACATCTTTAGCCATGTCTTCCCTCCTGGCCCTTCACTTGGTGCAGGATGGTACATCTGCCTTGGACACCTCACTCCTCCTTTGGGGAATTAGTGTCCTGTTTCACAGGTGGAGAACCAAGACTGAGTGATCAACCTGCCTGGTTATAGGTGTCTTGTGAATGTGCCTCAGCCTCCCCTCAGAACTTTGGCCTCTGCTTTCCTAGGACTCTTTTTGTATGTGTGTGTGGCCTGGAACTTTCTGTGTGGTTGAAGATGATCTTAAACTCTTGATCCTCTGGCCTCCACCTCCTGAGAGTTGGGATTGCGCATGTGTGGCACCACACCCATTGGTATACCCTTGACTGACATGTAGACTATTTTAACATCACGAGTGCACGGCTTCCTTGGCCCCCTTGCCACATCTTTGATAGAAGTGACAACCATAACTAGTCATAACAGGAGTTCTTGGTGAAGCAATGCCATTCACTGTGCTGGGTCTTGTGGCTGTTCCACTCAGGCCTTGGAATATCCCTGCAAGGCGGGAGCTCGGTAGCTCTGTTTTCAGAGGCAGCAGATGGAGCCACTAACTCAAGTACCCTCAAGCGGGATGCAGCAGATGGGGCTGAAATCCTAGCACTGGTGACCGTACAGCCCATGTTCTGCATAAGGGCATAGTCACACCATCTGCAGCATCCTGAGGACACTGATGGCTTTCTTGTGACCTAATTAGGAAGAGGTTAAAGAGACTGCTTAGCACGTAGTAGGTAATATGAGGTTGCTGCATATGTCTGAACAAATGCTTTTCAAAGCAGTACCGATGTTAAATCTGGTGAGCTGATGGCCCATACTCTTGCAGGCTGGGGTCCATAGGAACTCCCTGTGTCCCCAAGGCCACAGTGACATGCAGAGTGAGAGCTATTTTGCCAGAACTAAAGTACCAAGCCCACACCACCCTGACTTTATGCATGAAAAAGCTAAGGCATGGAAAACAAAGGTGGGACCTGTCCAGTGTCACAGACCAAGTGTGTCAGGCCAGGCCCTCAGCTTTTTATGAATGGTGGCATTCCAAGGTCACACCTAGCAGCTTATGGAGAATGAGAAGCCCTGTGTTGTTGGGTACACTTAGAGTGTGTTGGGTGGGTGGGATATATGGCGTGAACTAGCTTCTGTATTTTACCCACTGCATCTTGGATATGAATCCGGAACCTAGAAGTCTTTTGGATTCTGTACAAAAGCATCTGAAAATAAAACATGGGGTCATCTGAGATGTCCTGTGTAGGCAGTGGTTGCCCCTGGACCCAGCATGGGGACCCTGGCCAGAGCTGTTCGCAAGGCATTCTCCAATGAAGGAGACATCCATCTTCTCTGGACTGTTAAGGTCTCTGGATAGGTTGGTATCTCCTCTGCATCACCTTCCTGAGGATCCAGCATGCCTCCCAGAATCAGAGCTCAGCAGACATGTCTAGATGACATGCTCATTAATGTGAGTAAAGTTCCTGGTTCCTCCTTTCTACTGGCTAAAAGCTGCCCCTGAGTTTAGCACAATTTGCTCAGTTCTTCCCATAGTCAGGGAGGCAGATACGACTGGCATGGCCTCATAATCGATGCATTAAGGAACAGATCACCAGCATACAGATCCCAGGGGAAGCTGTGGCATAACACAAGGCAAGTCTCCATCACTGTACAACAGAGACAGTGTTCAGGATGGCCAGGATGAGCCACAAGGTTTCTCTGGCATTGGTATCTCCTCTAGAAGATACCTGACACCACAGAGGCCAGCCCTCAATATCTTCTGGGGTTCAGTGAATAAACCCAACCTCAGAAGATACTTCTCCCAGTGGAAGGGATGCAGGAAAGGGCTCTGTTACCCACTTGTTGATTTATAAGCCTGGTGGAGTGCCCAGATCCCACTCTGTGCCAGTGAAGACAGTGGATAGTGTGGTCCTCAGTGAGCATGCAGTGTGCAATCCTCAAGGGCAGGTAATATGCAGCCTGTGAGAGTGTGCATGCTAATATAAGCAATGGTAATTGAGTGCCCGGATGCTGATCCTCAACAAGTCAGCTCCTAAGGCTTGCTAGAGCCTCTGGAATTCAGTATGTTCACCTCTGAGGGCATCTCTGTTTTTAAGGCAAACTCTTCCAAGTTATGGATGACCATAAAGCTGGCCCAAGGCCTATCATTGACAAAGAACATCACTAAAATTCAAATTCATGTCTTTACCCGTTCTGTGCCCTCAGTGAGGAACAGTGTGCAACAGATTCAAGGA